AAAATGATGAAATTACCTTTATGTACTTAGAAGCTAGATTCATAGAGGGTAATATGGGCATTTCAAATTGTTCAAGAAACTAACTCACTCTTTTAAGGGAGTTATAGATATTCTTCTATAATTAATTTGCAGCTCCAAGGTTCTCTCTCAAACATTAGAACTTTGACCAAAATGTTATCCGTTCTCTTGAAGAGAAGTGAGGTCAGTGTGCCCGCAGTCTCGTAAGGTTTCACTAAACTTACCTTGGAGACTTTGTTGAATACATTTCTGATTGCTAATAAAATCATGACCATGTCTTCTTTCAGGTATCGTATGATATTGCTCAAGACATTGAAGTGCAAGGTGAGCACATGAGAGATACTCTTCAGCAGCTACAGAATGCTGTCTACCTGACAAAGGTGTTCTTTCTGCTTCCTTCCAAGAATAAAAGTGTTTGAATAGATCTATGACTCATCCTGTCAATGATCGTGTACTTCATTTTTACTGCAATCACATGACATAAATGCATATTTGAAGTACAGCTAAATGGGCGCTGTGAAATTTCAGATGATTCAGTAGCATTACTATTTTTGTTGACTATAACTCAGACAAATTGAGGAAATATTTATCAAAAAAATTATGTAAATAGGTGTGTGGTATATTTCTTTATAAAAATTGTAGTTAATGGTTTGAAGAAACATTGTTAGGAGTTGATGGGCAAAGATTTACTTGTATCTCTTGGTTCATTTACCACTAATTTTATAATCTTTTCTTTTAACTTACAAACAACTCCAGTCACTCATTTTTCTCTTGAGTAATTGCTTTTCCTTCTTAGGCTAATATAGTGCGCTATAACAATGAAACACTAAGGAAGATGCAGCAGTCGTATGATGAACAACCAGAAGTTAGGTCCCCAATATCCAGTAACACATCGATGGAAACTTCTATCAGTAAGATACAAGATTCTGGTAACCAATTGTGTCTCAGTTCAAGATCCAATAATGATTCAGAATTTCCCATGCCACCTCTTACTCTTGCACCTTCACATCAACAGCGAATCAGGTACTGTGGTATAGGACAATGTGATTGGTGTTTATTATGCTACATTGTTGCTTTCTTCTGAATTAAGTTCTCCTACCTTGCCTTGCCGTGTAACTATAGGGTACCGAGTATTTCTTGAACTCAATATGGTTTAACAAATTGATTTTGTGTCATCATGAAAGCCTGCTGAAGTGAAATCTACAAATACATTTTGTATATTTTCATTTTCATTTTCTGGTAGTTTTGGAATCCATCCAAGTTCATGGAAGGAAAAATCCGATGGGATGAAATAAAGAAGCTCAATGATGTATGTTATAAGACAAACGAAGACTCGAGCATTTCTATAGAAAGATGTAATTTCATCTATCACCCCTCTTTCTGACATTAAAGAATTTGAATTTCAGGCAGTTGCAGTGAACACTTAATTCAAATAGAATCATAAGAAATACTAAAAGAGAGGAAAAGTTTGTCAGTTCAACTGATGCAACAGTTAATTGTCTGCATTACAATTTGAAGCAGTCCAAAATCAAAGAGATGCCTTGGTATCTAAAAACTCAACTTGAATACCTGAGGGATTTCATCATGACTTTCTGTATCTTATTGAAGTTACATGACCTTTTATGTTGAATCTACATGTAATTTTGTTTTTATATTGCTTTGTGGTAAGTTTTTCATATGAACCATCATTTCGCAGAAGACCTTGTGAAGTTTCTGAATTGCTGCAAGATTTAGTCGGGGCGATTAAACCTCTTGCATGCAAGCAACGACGGATTGTGGAACTGTGCAATCTGTCAATGTCTTTGAAGGTTGCCGTGGAAGAGCCTGCTTTACGGCAAGCTTTAAGCAACTTAATTGAGGGCTCTTTATTGCGAACGGTGGTTGGAGGAAGAGTTGAAATCATCTCTACTCGAGCACCTGCAGGTGGTGCTCTCATCATTATTGATGACGATGGGCCTGATATGCACTATATGGTAATTGTTTATCTTGCCAGCTAGGGTCAAACCCACTTCCAATATGTGTTATAGTAGTAAATGTCCCCTTTGTGCCTGCAGTTTCAACCGAAGTGAGTGAGGCATTTTTTGAATGATCTGAAATTTGGACTTATGCATGGGGAGTTAGGCAATTGAAAATGATGATTACTATTCTAGTTTATTATCCCTCGAGTGGAAGTGCGAAATCTCTTAATGCCAAAGTCCAGTGTAAATCAGAGCTCTGCATCCACATGTAGATGTGTAAATGAGTACAATCCCCCATCCCAAAAACATAGGTCATTTAGGCGTGCTTGTTTATGAAAAAACTGTTTTTTTTTTTTTGTTTTTTTTTATGGTTTTTTGTGTTAACTAGAGTTTATTTGAAAAAAGTTAGTATGATTAGTTGTTAGTGGGCCAGACCCCAACCTGTTTGGGAATATACTGGGTATGTTGATTAGTTGTTAGTGGGATTTTAAGAATGTATTAAAATAATTAAAATTAATTTGATGTAAAAGTGTGAGATAAATGATTGGAAATTATTAAAAATGATGGGTAGTTAAAATTTTGTGAGTAGATGAATAGTGAACTAAAGCTGATGTGATGTTTAAGATTGAATGATATTATTTAATTATATTTGTAATATTGAAGATAGTGGGGTTGAGTTAAAGTTGAGTTAATTTTTGAATTGAGATAAAAAAAAAAAAATCTAGTTTTTTACTAGATATTTGATAAACAAGCACGGCCTTACAATTTTGGATCTCCCATAAAGATAGGCATGTTATCTTGGATAGAGTAGCTATAATGTTTAAAATTCATTATGTTCCTGATTAAATTTATATAGGACCCAGCCTTGATTATTCTTTAAACATGTTATCATCCAATCACTTAATTAATCGGTTCCACACGACTAGGGAGCTTCAAAGGAGAAATTATATTCTGTGCAACTTGATCAGCCCATGTTAGCTTTAGGTGATTTTACAACTTGCAAATACCATCGTAATACTGCCTGCTTAAGTGGCCTGTAAAAGTCTCATCTGTAATTAGTGTCTTCTATTGTGCGTTATGTAAATTTGAAATATATCTCTTATTTCTTCATAAATGCTCTGATCATCTGGAAGTGTTTTCTTTACTTCATCTTTGCCACATGGAAAAATTAGAAAGCATGTACTTTGTCATATTTGGGAAAGCTGCATTTACTCGTGCAGAGTGTTTCGTGTGAGTTTTCGTGCTGTGGATTGCTTGCAGACGCAAATGCATTCGCTTGTGCCATTTGGGGCTGATCTATGTGCAGAAGATCGTATAGAGGACAATATGGCGTGGAACTTTGTTGCAGGGTTGACTGTTGCTCGGGAGATACTCGAGAGTTACGGCTGTGTTGTCCGTGTCATCTCTCCAAGAAACACTGAAGCAGTCTTGGGAGTTGGTGGGACCCGTCTGGAGATTTGGCTTCCCTCAATGGATGCTGATGACTGCTTTGTTCAGGAGGCATGAAAAAGCCGCTGAGTAACTCTCTTGAGCACTGATTCTCAATTTTGTTAAATTAAATTGTTCTATATTGTAACATATAGTTATTCTGAATCGTACTGATGCCAAGGCTTTTCGTGTAGGTTATTCTGCACTATATGTTGCTGTGGAGTTTCAAGTCATAAAAGCATCGGCAGAAAGAATTTGGTTTATAGGATCAGCAGTATGTTACTGTCCTTACGAATCGATATTATTTAATGTGTACATATAGATAAAGGTATATTCAAGAACGTGTGATGTTGTGTTGTGGTAATTTATTGATACATAAGTAAAGTTTGTACTTATTTATTTTAAATGAAAATGATGCATTATAAATTTGGGAGATGTTACGGTCCCTTATGGAATCATTTCGTCAGAGTTTGTCACCATTAGATTAACTATCCCGAGCGGTGTCAGAGTTTGTCACCATTAGATTAACTATCCCGAGCGGTTACATGGTGATCTAACGGTTACAAACCTCGACCGACTAGTTCTGTAGGACCGTAACATTTCTCTATAAATTTCGATTACATTTGATTACTCTCTTTCCAACACTATTCTATTGTTTTGAAAGAATGATTTTGGGGCACACACATCAATAGTAAGGGCCATCCGGAACATGATTCAGAATAATTGGTGTGTGAAGATCCACCATGTGCATAGAGAAGCTAATTTCGCAGCAGATCACATGGTGAGTTTGGCGGCTTCAGCTTCGCTTGGCTTCCAACGTGTATCAGACCCTTCTGTAGGCTTAAGACCCTGGCTTGATCATGATCTTATGGGGGTTTCGTATCCCTGGCGCATTTTAGCTTGACCATTCCTCTAAGCCTTTGGCCTCCTTCTTTGTACCGAAAAAAAAAAAGAATGCAATTTATATATTTTTTATTGTAAATTATATTTTATATTTTATTTTTATATGATTAATTATTCTATGAATAATTGTTTTTAATTTTCTAGATGTACATATGTATTTTTAATTATGATATTCTATGATTTGGAGGAAAAAAAAAAAAACTAGCAAGTCAACGAAGGGTTGAAGTGGAGAACATTGCGCATGACAAATAAAATCAGCTTAATCACAATTAGGCCATCACTAATACCTTATCGAGTTGACGTGGAGAACATTACGCATGATAAATCAAATCAGCTTAATCACAATTAGGTCATCAATAAAACCTTATCATCACCACCTCCTAGACTGGATTTCCTTGACTTTAAACGTGATGGTTTGACTTAAATTTCTTTTTTACCTTTTTCCCTTTTTTCTATTTTCGTTATTTTTCCTTTTCCCCTCGTGTTTTACTATGAAACCAACAGTTATCTTCATCTTGAAGTCAATTTTCTATATACAACAAGTAAATCATACCATCTTCACGTATTATTTAAATAGATACTAATAATTTTATTAATATGATATAATTTTCTTATTGTAAATAGAAGGTTGACTCCACTATAGAATCAATTGTTGACTTCACAGAAAAACTGTTAATCAACAAACACGATAACAGTAATGAAAATTATTAATTCCAGCAAAACACTCAGACTCTGACTCGACCTGGCTCGAGTATTATTGTTATTATTATTATCTCTATTAGCACTAAAAAATGGTAGATGCTACACTTCCGTTACATAACTATTTCGTCGTGATTTAACGGTTATAAACCCGACGGAATGATTCCGTAACGGAACTATAGCATTTCGCCATTTCCCATAAAAAAAAATATCCGTCCAAAGTCCTAATTAAACCTCTCTCCTCAAAACCCACAAAGATTATTTACTATAGCAGCTGATTACGCTAAAAAGGTCAAAAAAAAAAATAATAATAATTATTGGATGAAAAAGTTGGAATATAACAATGAGAAAATCGAGTACAATAAAATCTAATGAATTCTGTTCGTCTCCATTTTTTTTTATTTTTTTTTTTTCTTCCATTTCTCATTTCCTTTTTCTCTTCTATTTTTCTTCCCTCATCAATCAGTTCGTTAGTCACAGTCGCACACACACACACACACACACACACAAATCAATTAATTCGTTTTATAGATTTTGTTCGTTTTCATATCACAGCCTTAATCAATAAATAGTGGGCGATGTTCGCTTCTGTTTCACACATGCATTAAAGAAGACGAAGAAGAAGCCCGTGTGATTCTGGTCAGCCTTTTAATGGCGATATCGTTTGTTTTGAGTTTGTGTTGAGGCGCTATTCTGTATTCTAATGTGTTTATGTGTACGATTTTGTTCCACCCAAAATGGCCATCTTCGATTCTTTCTTGTTTCTTTAGAAAGCTACGGATGTTCTTTTTTTTTTTTTTTAATTTTTTTTAATTTACAAATGTTTCCCTTTAATTGATATTTATGTGATTAATTGGGTTGGTTTTAGCTAATTCATTCTGGGAGGCTAATGTTATAAAAAGGGTAGCTTGTTTAAATGGTGACCCCTGACATTGTTGTGTGCAGCATTGTGTAATGCTTAGAAATAGTATGTTGAGCTAATTGTGGGGGGTTAGAGACCAGACAAGTATGATTCCTCAGTGGTTGGCTTTTTAGTTGTGATTTTTAAGGGTGTTTCTCTCGAGGGTTTGCGCGGTTAGAACATCTTATGTACGTTCAGCGCTCGTTTGGTATATTTTATATTGTTCTTCGGGTATTGAATTTGATGTTTCCTTATAATTCCTAGTTGAACTCCAAATGAATTTCCCTAGTTGTGTAGTTTTAGGACCAGAGAACTTAAAACTCTGTACACTTGCTTGTGTTCTGATGCTTTCTATGTGGTGAAGAGTTGCTGCTTGAAGCTCACACGGGCGGTAAAAAGCACCCTTGCTATAAATATAGAATTCGATAAAGGGAAGGAAAAGGAATAACTCAGGTACATGATTATTTGGTTATACAAATTGCAAGTAGACAATGCTTGTTCTATGGCAGGGAACATTATTATTCAATAATTAACTTGAGATCATTTTATTGTCCCAGCACAATGACTAAAAAACCGAACGAGACTATGAGATTGTTTTTCACTGTCATTACTGGGGTCATGTTTGGATTCATGATGGGAACATCATTTCCAAGGCTTCCACTAACAAAGGTACGTAAAATATAGTATTTATTTCAGCTACATTATGGTATCTGGTTTTATTGATGCATTATGCATCGACTTCATATTTTTTTTGTTCGGTGTAACTTATTCTGCTTTCTCATTTGTCAGCTAAACATCACATCAGATTTTTTTCGGGATTTTAACCCAACAATCGGGAACAATAGTATGGCGAATGCTACCCAAAACAGAAACAAAAATCCCATCGTGAAGGATTTATCAAAGGTTTGTGAAATCTTTCGAACAAGGAAATCCAAAGTAATGTTCCTCTGCAGATCCTGTTGCTGCTTAACATTTTATTCATTATTAATAGTGCATACATGGACCGTATTTCTTGGTATATCATCTTTTATAACATTAACTTGTGACACTGAAGATGCTCTCATCAGTTTTATGTGGTAACTTGGGCTGGATTTTGGCTGGTTGGAATCCAATTTGTATGTACATGATTTTCCACGCTTTGAAATTAAAATTATACACACAAGAAATATAATTTGCGGTTGTGCATATGATGGAACAAAGACTTTGTTCAAAAATATAATTTGATTTTCCTCTGCATAGTTTCTTATACGTCTTTTCCATATATTTTGTTCAGATTTGGGTCCTCTCAAATCCGAAAGGTGCAGAAAGGTTGCCACCAGACATTGTAGCTTCTGAATCGGACTTCTATCTCCGAAGACTATGGGGAAAGCCAAGTGAGGTGAGAAATTGGCTTATATTTGCTTCATATTTTCCCCTTTTTATTAGATTTTAGTAAGAGCAGCCAAAAATTCAACAAATCCTTTACGGGAAAAATCTTGTTACTAATCACCGAAGGAAAAAATTAACCTGGAGACTGCAAAATAGGAAAACTCAAGTGATCCTAAATTTTTCCAGTCAGCAATGTGCATATATTTTTACTATTTAGAGAATTCTAAATGCATCATCTTGGAGGGAAAAAATGGCTGCTAATTGGTACAAATGTTTCTAAAGAATTACGTAGGGTTCTTCAGAGGGAATTTTGATTTCTGGTTACCTTTGTCATTACATAGGACTTGATTATGAAGCCAAAATACTTGGTAGCCTTCACAGTTGGTTATGATCAAAGGAATAACATCGACAAAGCTGTGAAAAAGGTCAGTAGAAGCTCCAATTGCTTTCCTTTAGGCCTCACTCAAGTCTCTATTTCAACTAGTTATATTACTGCTGCAGTTCTCGGAGAACTTTACCATCCTTTTGTTTCATTATGATGGAAGAACAACTGAATGGGATCAGTTTACATGGTCCAAACGAGCTATTCATGTTAGCGCGAGCAAACAAACAAAATGGTAACTATATTTTCAGAAAAAAAACCCAATTATTCAATTTCTAAAAGGGATAACAATAAGAAAGCTACTTGTGGGGTTTGGAATAATAAGAAATAAACCGACAAACATTAGAAATTACGAGAACCACAGTTGAGGTTTGATTCTGTCTTACATTGTGGCCCAGAATATACTGATGGAAATTGATGGTATCATCGAATATTTTACAGTTACACCCCTCAACTTTTCAAAATACTGCAAATAGTATCAACTTCTCACATCACTGTTTGTAATGTATATCGAAATTGGGATTTGTAAATGCAACATGTCAAAAAATGTTGGAATCCTTTTTAAACTTTACCAATTGAGGGATGTTATGTAAACGTACTTTGATGAGATGCCAGCAAATTCTTTTAGCTCCACAAATGGCTAACACAATAATATGTATCACAAATGTAGCCACCTTTTGTAATCTTCAAAGTTGGCTGTCAACATTTTCTCCGTTTTTTGTCATCCCTATTTTGAATAATGCTGACATATGAAATTTTGCAAAAGGTGGTATGCGAAAAGATTTCTGCATCCAGATATTGTTGCCCCGTATGACTACATATTCATATGGGACGAAGATCTAGGGGTCGAGCATTTTGATGCAGAAGAGTGAGTAAAAATGATGTAATGTCTAATAGCTTTTGAACTGGCTTGCTCAATGCTAATTTTCCTTTCTCCCAATAAAAAATGCCAGATACATTAAACTCGTGAAGAAGTATGGGTTAGAAATTTCACAGCCCGGTTTGGGAGAGAACAAGGGAACAACTTGGCAGATGACGAGAAGAAGAGACGGCCAAGATGTTCACAAGTAAATGGATGACCTTATGCATAATTTCCATTCACGAACACGTTTGTTTGGAAGGTCGAGTAGTGCCTGTAAATATGCAACGTTTCTTACTCATTTTCTTTACTTTTAATACAGGGAAACAGAAGAGAAGCCGGGCTGGTGCTCCGATCCCCATTTGCCTCCGTGTGCAGCGTATGAACTTTTCTGATTTACTTGGTGATTTTAGATTTTAATTTGTTTTATTCTTTATCTGTTGTGAGATATATTTTATTTGGTACTCAGGTTTGTGGAAATTATGGCTCCCGTCTTTTCTCGAGACGCATGGCGCTGCGTGTGGTATATGATTCAGGTTGTTGTCATGTTTTTTGTTGTTGAACATAGAAATATTCTCTCTCCCTAAGCTTGAGGTTTATTATACGTTGTGAAAACTTTGCAGAATGATCTGGTCCATGGATGGGGTCTCGACTTGGCCCTCCAGAGATGTGTTGAGGTCAGCATGCTATTTCTCGCTATAAAAAACGCTACCAAAACTTTTGATTCCAGTTTTAAATGTTTCCATCTCGCAACCCAAACAATTGTGTCAGTGGAGTTATAACAGTTAGTTACCCTGTAAACAATATATATAATGGAATCTTGCAACTTCTTTCTTTTTCATTTTTTTTTTCTACACTTTCTGCAATTGTTTATTTATGAAACACTCGAGAATCTCAGGTCGTAGGGGTAGTGTTTGTAATAGTCCTGAGGAGATCTGTTTTATTGCTGTCTGAATGTTTTTTAGTATCTGCTAAATGTAAAATGCTTTTTGTTTGCAGCCTGCTCATGAAAAAATTGGAGTTGTAGATGCTCAGTGGATTGTGCATCAGTCTCTTCCTTCATTGGGTGGCCAGGTATTATATCGTAAAACCTGATACCACTTGATCTTGCTGTGTACATGCATTAGGCTCATACACTGGAATAACCTCTCTCTCTCTCTCTCTCTCTCTCTCTCTCTCTCTCTCTCTCTCTCTGTGTGTGTGTGTAACTGATAGGGGCACAGCGAGAATGGAAAGCCTCCATGGCAAGGGGTACGTAACCAATAAAGCACCTTGATATTAAAATTGCTAGTCAACTTTTGACGTCCTAACCCACTACGTATACGTATTTACTTGAAAACCAAAGTGATCAATGTAAACATTGATTTGATTTTAATACAAAAATTAAGGTTGATCGAAAATTGAGTTTCATGAAATACAATATAAAGATTAGCTATGGCTAGCCCAAATAAGTCAAGTTATTTTGGCTGATTTTCGTAACTCGATGGCTTACGTTCTCAAATAGGTGGTTTTATCTAGATTGGCCTTTCTTCTTACCTTGATGTTTTCCCTAATAAAATCCTGATAGTCTTCAAAATTCGAAAAGATAGTTTCTTGTATTTGTTCTTTCTTTTTTTTTTTTTCATTGAATCAGATCAAATCCATAATTTTGGGGAAAAGCTTAAGCTCCAATTTTCATTTCACATCTCTGCAAAAATCTCATCGAGCTTTACATAAAAGTCCCCTATTTATATTTTGTCCACATGCAGAAATAATTAA